TTCCTGGTTTGATCAATTGGTGTTTTAAGTGATAAATTGTCTTGTCACTGATGTTCCACTTCTTATAATTTTATCAATTATACAGTTCAGTTGAGTTTAGTCTAGTCTAATACTTTGTGGGTGCGGCACATACGTCCTTATTGGCTACAATAGAACAGATAATCACTTAGTTCCCAACAATCTTCCCAGAAAGATGTTGCTGCCATGCTCTGATGTTAATGGTTCACATTACTCATTCAGCACTTTTGGACCACTATATTAGGCAATTATTAAGCTTCTTGTGATTTCTTTTAAGTTTCTTGCTTCATAAATGATGCAGCTAGCTAAAACCAGCCGTCAGAAGACATGTTCTGATAATTCAGAATTATCACCCAGGAAAATAAGGACTGAATTAAGGTCTTTGCCCGTCGTATTTTCATACTGAAAATGTGAACTATAAGCTTCGACAATTTTATTTTTTCCAATTTTATCAAGATATTATTGATAAACATGATTTTGTTCACTCAAATTGTATGTTTCTCAGTTTTTGCTATTTTGGATGATTTGCAAGGTCATCTCCCAGATGCCTATCAGTTTTACTAGTAGAGGAGAAATTTACTTTTGTAGTCCACAATCCTCTTCTTAACATTGTTCAGATTAGAAGTTGCATAGCCTTGACATTCTGGAGTCGAATATTCTCTGGTGCAATCAAAGATTCTAAGAAATTCTTCCAAGTTCAGATCAGACCATTGTGTTCACAAACCGCCACAAACTTGGAGTTAAATTGAAATTCTATTTTCTTACTTAATCAGAATGGCTCTTGCATATTTTATATTCATGGTTTGTTGTTAAAATTTCCTTCCAGTTATTGATGAGACACATGAAATTAATAGGAAATGGATTGATTATTTGGAATTTTAAGCCTTGAATATGTATTTCCCAGAGAAGTTGTTTTCTCTTCATTTTAATTAACTAGGCTATATATCACATAATGGAAAATAATTCCTGTTGAATGCTCTACTTTCTCTTGTTTCCTCTTCATTTATGTTAATTTCATGGACTCATTCTCTGGCACATTTTATATTTGTCGGAACTTTCTCTGATGCACTGATGCTTAGCTTATTCTAGTAGTGTATGATGTACAAGGTTAACAATAACTTCATCTCCTTAAACATTTTAATCGAGATGTTTACTCCTTCTTGGTAACACGTATTTGTTCTTTTCTTTTTGTATTATTTTTAGGTTCAAATTAATTGTCCAAGCCTCTCATAGTACCTTTCAGTCTGGAGGCTGTGGATATCATTATTGTTACAATCATGCATCTTACATAGATTAAATTTTGCAGATGTTAACAATGAGGAACGGATTAAGCCTTTATCCCATGTCCCTCCCCGTGATGCCTCGCCCTGACCAAGTTTCTCAGATGAGAATGGGTATTTACCAGGGGAATGGACCCTTGAACATGAAAAGTGAACATCCTTTGAACCAAGATTACTTATCAAATGCCCTATTCAGTCTATTGGATAATAGTCCTACACACGCATCAGCTGCAGATTTCTCAACCATGATGGGTTCAAAAACCTCATTTGAATTGGCATCAATCCCGACTCAACTCGGACCCTTCCAGTTCTCCAGATCTTCTAAAGTAATTTACTCTTATGTCCTTTGTCTTAATAGAATACTGAGTTCTATAATTGCAAAAAAATTATAATCTTTAAGCTATTTGAAGGGAATGTGCAGGGATGAGGATTTGCCTTTTCATGAAGTAAATGGGGACTCTTCTGTGACTAGTTTCAGAGGTAAATCTTTTATCTAACATAACTTCTATGCAGTCAAAATGTTTTTATCACGTATGGTTTCTGTGCTTGCCTGGGACAAAAATGTGGAAAAGTAAACAAGAACCCCTCGTACTTGTCCTAACTATTTATCTTTATACATAAAGACTACAGTGAAGGAATGAAAGCATATTCAATACCTTTTGACACTCGACCATCTGACTTAAACAACAATACTCTGGAAGCATGCTTCATCGGACGAGAACAACTAGAAGGCATGCAACAAAATTTGGGCCTCAATCCAAATCTTTCACCACAGTTCAATTGGTAATTTCTCTTTCGTATTTAGTGTTCCTGTTGCCTTTTCACTTTACTAGTTCTTATTATTTGAGTCTTACCACTGTTATAAGCAGACAAATTGGAGCGAGAACAATTGATGATGATATCAAAATTGAAAGCTACGGATCGTGAATTTTGGATTTCGGTGGTGCTGGCTTATCCAATTAATGATGCTTCTTCAAGCAATTGTACATTTTGATTTCTCTGGATAGGTGTATTGGAAGCTAAATTTTGGCTCAAATATGATGTTAGGATGGGTTCTACCAGATATTCTTTCTGTCATTGCTTTGTGAGTCGACAATTATGTGACGCATTAATTGCATACGCTCTATGAAGCAATATTTAATGGCTATGTCGTGTGAGATGATAACTCTCATTGCCGATTCACCCCTTAATTTTGTTATACTAAATGATTCGACTGGGCCTTATACAGGTTATTCCTGGTAGTTGACTGTATTTATGCACACAAGGATCGCTGCGGTCTGAGTCCAAAACCAGTAGTTTATTAGAATTAAAGGGTACGGACACAGTGTTTTTTTTTTGATCGGTAAAATGAATTGTATTGATCAAATACCATATACAAATACTCCGAGCATACTCGAGTGAATCAACAATGAAGTTACAATGAAAAAACAAGTACTATGGGCATACCCCAGTAATTAAGCAAAAGATGATCCAACAAAAGAGAAAAGACATCAACCCATCGCTAATAATTCATAGCCAATAAATGAGACTACACGTTACCTTTTTTTTATATGCCCATTCAGCCAAACAGTTTGGAGCGCAATCCGCGCACGGTTGGGTCTAAGGCGTTACATGTCTACTCTCCCAAGTGCAATGAAATGGATCAAAAAGGAAATTAGGGGCACATCTTGGCATAGCAAAGCTAAATAGATTGCACTTGCTTCAACCATATACAACATTTTGATGGCTAGGAACAAAATTTTTTTTATGACCTTACACCGCAAGTTGATAGTGTTGTTAGACGTATCAAAACACATGTATAGTGTATACACATTGGAATAAGAACCATGAAATAAACATTCTGGTATGATTCTCTGTTCTTGCATTTAGCAGCTCCTAGGAAAGGAAGAACATGTGCATATTATGTAGGTTCGCAAGCATACGCGGCTTGAATTGCGAACCAGCACGGAACTCCACAGAAACAATGCTGCAGCCAGTCGAGTATATGCTGCTTGTGTGTACGAAGTGATGTTACATAGCTCACATTCGAGAACGAACTTCGTGCTATTGTAATTTCTGCGTATTCTAATGCATAGGGACAAACTGTCTTTTGGTCTTTTACCAATAATGCAGTTTAGACAATGGACCAGTTAAACTATGGACCATAGGACTGACTACCTAGAAAACTGCTTTCTTGGCTATTATTTTTGGTACCACAATACAAAATCATGCGACTCCATGATTAAAATGCACTCAATTAATTCAAACCTTCTTAAATTATTAGCTTTGCAATCACGTGATTCTCGTTCCTAGTATTCAATGAAAACTCGAACACGGCATTTCATGGATGACTCGCACGCAACACGAAGTGACTTGTGTCTACCGTGTCCGCCTAATG